ACACCAAATGCATACATGCACACACACATACATTTATCTTTTCCTTTCCTTCTTTCCACCCCTGCTGGATCTTCCATCTGCTACTGCAATATGTTCCCTCATTCATTTCAAAGAAGAGGAGATATTCCTGCATGGACAGAAGGGCAGCCATAGCCCTGGGAAAAGATGTGGGGGGCAGGCTAGCCAAGGCAGCAGGGCCAGCGACAGCCACAAATGGCTAGGAATCATGAGTTCCCTAGCAAGGTCCTAATGGGTTGGAGGGAATGCAGAAGAACAAAAATTGGGGAGTTCTCTGGAAGAAGAGAGGTTAACAAGATGTTGGTGAGTTGACCATGTCTTTTTGAGTGTTTCATCCGTTTGCTATGTGACATTGTGCTAGTCTCCTTCCTGCCTCAGAAACACCTTCCAGGAACAGATGCATGAATAATATCCATTCTCTTCCTCACGTACTCTGTCCCCAACCTTGCCATCTTTCCCAGGAGACAGAAGTCATTATTTCTATCTGAATGATTTGGGACTCCCAGTGCTGCTTGAAGGAGGTCCCATATAGACTATTCCTCTTTACTTCTAGCAAGGACAATGAATGTAGAATAGAGTGTGTAGCATCAGGGGATGAGGGCATCACCAGCCTGCTTCCCCAAACCTCCAGCAGCTGGAAAATCTGCATGTGATATTCGCAGCTCTGGAAGTGGGTCAAAATCACTAGATGGTTTCTGGGAAATGCACTCCTTTGGGATTTCAAAAGATCTGTCCCTGTTTCCCTTCCCTCCATGGAGAATGCCATCCTTAAAAACAAGATTCTATCCATACAGTTTCTCTACAGTAGAAGCATAAATCTAATCATCGGTTTTCTCATTCTCTTCAATCCCCTCCCTCCTCCTTGAATTCCTTGGCTTTCCCCTTCGTCTTTTCCTCCTCCTGCTCTCACCCCCTCCAGTTCCTGGGCACCGCACTGCGCTTCAGAAAGGATTCTAGGATTTGTTTGTAGAAAGTGCTGACGGGACGGGAATTCTATGCAGTGCAGAGAGAAAGCAGCAAAGTTGCCCTGCAGAAAGGAGATGAGGATGGGGAGCGAAAGAGAGTTTGGCACACATAAGTGTAAATCTGAATGGGGAATGTATGTCCGTAGCCACGTAAGCAAGGGCAATCATGCCTGCACTGTGTTATGACATGCATGCATCTGTGGTGTGTGTAGCATGCTCAAGTATGTGTGTAGCCTAGTACAGAAATGCGCTGCCAAGGAAGATTTTGTTACATGCATGTATAAAGGCATGTTTGGTACACAGCCTACTGCTTTGCTGAGTGCAATAGAGCAAACAGTGTATGAGGCTATAGAGTCATCTTTCTATAAAAAGTATATACACATTACTACCTGAACATGTGCCCACAGAAAAAGTTTGAGCGTGCCAACAAACATTGTATATAGAATGTGCTAGTATCTATGGAAGGGAGTGTGTAGTTGTATTTTAGTGCAGATATATGCAAAGCTTTGTTTGCATCTCAATCTGCAGTTAAACCAACTTAAATTTAATTGAAACTGGTAAATACAATTCCATTCAACAATGACTTTATTTGCCCTGTAGGCACAGTGGTGCGAGTGTAGAACCGCAGAGACATATGAACATGCAGAGTGTTCCATAATTTTCAAAGTAGATTGTGGAAGGAATGCATGGATAGGTATAGTCTCCCCAAAGACTATGTACATACAGGGCCTATAAAACTGCATACTGTACTCAGATGAATGTGTTAAATAATGGTAGGCTGGCCATAGCTGGAAGAAACCCAATGTGGGGTTGGGGGGGTTGGGGGGGTGTATGCATGCAGACGAGGTTTAAGTGAGAAAGTGATTTGTGTACTGGTATAATGAGCATTAATTCAAAGCCTGTGACAGAGTAAGTTGAAGGCTGCATGCAAAGTTTTGCCCGTACATAGTTGTTGTACATGAAACATACCTTAGAGGACAGGGTAAGATCCCAAGTGATGACAAAGCATTCTGTAATGATATAGCACCTGAGTATTAAATGAACCTCCTGGACAATCAGAGCTTGTGTGTGCTTGTGTGTGTACCGATGGGGAATGTGAATGAATGTGATGCGCTCCGTATTTTTGCAAGGGAGCACATGACTGTTTGCGTCATTGCTTTCTTTCACTGTTTTCTCAAGGTGCTAAAATAGGAGAATGGTGTCATAGAAGGTGCTTGAATGTTGAGCCCGAAATCCCTGCAGAGCCCTTTCTGTTCTGTGCTCTTTATCCATTAATCCAAATTACTGACATTAGGATAGTTAAAACATTTACTGCTGAAAAACGGCAGAAATTCAAGAGGGAGGAAAAAAGGAAGGGAGAGAAAAGTTTTACCATCTCGAAATTTCCTTGTAATGGGGTTTCAAATCCCCAGCTTGTTCCCCAAATTGCACAATGGTTTGGGGGCAAGTTGGCTCTTTCCTCTCCTTTTACTATCTATAATTCCCTGTCTGAAAAGGAACCAAAAAGGGGACACAGTTGACCTCAACAGAGCTGTGACAGGATCACTGCAGTTCTGCATAAAAATAAACCAAACTCACACCAAGGGAACAGATCTGCAACCTGCATTCACTATGCAGATTAAAGAGCAAATATAGTCATAAGGATGGGAAATTTACATTTTGGGGGGGGGGGAATTCAGGCTCAGAGTCTCAAATCAAAATGTTGACTTTTGTATCACATCAGCAAGTTATGTGCCTGCATAGTGCAACTGGCAATGGGTGAATACTAAATAGGTATATTATATTGTAATAATAGGTTCTTGTTCCTCTAAGGCAATGTTTCTCAACCTCAGCAATTTTAGGACTTGTGGACTTCAAGTCCCAGAATTCTGGCTGGGGATTTGTGGGAGTTGAAGTCCGCACATCTGGCTGGGGATTTCTGGGAGTTGAAGTCCCCACATCTTAAAGTTGCTGAGGTTGAGAAACACTGCTCTAAGGAATAAAACAGGTTCTTCTTGGTTCTCTCCTCCCCAGTCATTTATTGCATCAGTTTTATAAGGTAGGTAAGACTGAAAAAGAATAATTGGCTCAAAGTCATGGAGTGAGTTTCATAACTGACTAGCTAATGGAATCCAGTTTTTCTCTAGTCCACCATCAGCTGAGAATTGATGTAGAGTGAGTGACTAGAGCATTAGACCATGATTGGGGATGCACAGTTTTGAATCTCTACTCGGCTCTAAAGCTCCCTGGGTGATCTTGGACTAGTAATTTCAGTGTTTCTCAGTCTAATCTTCTCCACAAGATTGTTGTAGATAAAGCATAGAGGAATATGGACTAACCTAAGTTCCTTTGGAGTAATGATAGGATAAAAATGTAAAAAATATTGCTGATATTGAGAAATGGTCATACTGTAGTTCCAAGCAAAGCTTCCTTCAAGAAAGACAATCTTGCCACCTCCCACTCATGAGGCATGCAAAGATAGGCCTTGTTACTCCTACAAGACATTGTGATTCCCCTTGTCTTTGATGGCTTTAAATGTTTCAGCCATGCTAGCTACAGTTGTGGGAATTGCATCCCAGACAATTCCCTGAAGGATACCATATTGGAGAATGCTGCTTTAGAAGGTAGCCAGACAAACATGCAATCCATGGCTACTAGTCATGATGGCCATGGAGGAGGCCCTAGCAACAGCTATTGTGAATTTAAGGAGGAGGCATTGTTTAGAGTTGGAGATATGCCAAAAGTTCTGGGTCCGGTCAAATGGAAAGAGAACACTGGGAAACAGCTTCTACCAAGGAACCATAATCCAAAAATAGGGCAGACACTAACAAGCTAGAACTGGGGTTGGAAAACAATTAATTGGGATTTACTGGTAGATCTCTAGTGAAGTGCAGTAGATCAGTAAGAGTCTCTGACTCCAATATTTTAATGACAGCAACAAGAAAATACATGTATGCAGATACACACATATACATTCACATCTCATGGTTAGCATCCCTGATCCATAATAAATCAGATGCAGATCAATCCATTTAATGGGTAATGGAGTATAATGAATGGAGTGCAATAAGCATATAAGTCACCATATCAGGATGCTACTTAAAACGGAAGAGATCCCTGTAAGCTAAGGGCTGATATAAAACAGAGAAGCAAGGGTCAGAAAATATAATTACTCATTGCTACATCATTTTGTAATGTTTTTTCTTCCAACAGTTATTAGCCACGTCTTATAATATATTAAATGAGAGCCAGTTTGGTGTAGTGGTTAAGACATCAGGCTAGAAACCCGCCTTAGGCATGAAGACAACTGGGTGACCTTGGGCCAGTCACTCTCTTTTAGCCCTAGGAAGGAGGCAATGTCAAACCACTTCTGAAAAACCTTGCCAAGAAAACTGCAGGGACTTGTCCAGGCAGACTCTGAGAATCAGACACGATTGAACGTATGTGTGTATGTGTGTATGTGTGTATGTGTGTATGTATGTATGTATGTGTGTATATATATATATATATATATATAGAGAGAGAGAGAGAGAGAGAGAGAGAGAGAGAGAGAGAGAGAAGAAACAACTTCAGCAGGGGATAGGATCCCATTTTTTAATGCAGATCCCTCCATTTGCTAAAAAAAACCTTTTCCATAAGAAGACTAGGCTAAAACCTAAGTACCTAAGCTAATTTTCTAGGCATGAGGATTTTTTTTAAAGTGGGCAACATTTTAAAAAATGAAAGATGTCCTTCCCTCTTACCCCACACCTCAGTTTTGCTTAACTATCAGTGGGATGAAGGGGAAAAATAAGTGGGGTATTTGCTGTCTCTTTGGGATATACTTAACAACTATTTATTGAGGAGGGGCAGTTTCTGGGAAGGGGCTGACTTCTGTAGGACAGGCTGTTCCTTTTCTGGAAGCGTTCGTTCTTTTACAATTATGAGTTAGCACTAATTGTTTCCTTCCCTGTCCTTTCCTGTTACACATTCTCGTCTCCCTGCTGTTCCTCTCTGTCTGCTTCTTCCCTGTACGTTTGCCCTTCTGCATCTCTCCAGTATGTGGCCTTTGCCTCCCTCTTCTTCATCCTCATCTCCATCACCACTTTCTGCTTAGAGACCCATGAGACTTTCAACCACTTCAAAAACAAGACAGAAATCATAAAGACGGGGAACAGTACCAGCATAAAGGTGGATTATGAAATGGAGACAGAACCCTTCCTCACCTACGTGGAAGGGATGTGCGTCATCTGGTTCACCTTTGAGTTCCTCATCCGTGTCATCTTTTGCCCAGACAAACTGGAATTCATCAAGAGCACCCTCAACATCATCGACTTTGTGGCCATCCTGCCCTTCTACCTGGAAGTGGGCCTCAGTGGCCTCTCGTCCAAAGCAGCCAAGGATGTGTTGGGCTTCCTGAGGGTGGTAAGATTTGTCCGGATCCTAAGGATCTTCAAGCTGACCCGGCATTTCGTAGGACTGAGAGTCCTAGGTCACACGCTGAGGGCCAGCACCAACGAGTTCTTGCTGCTCATCATCTTTTTGGCCCTAGGGGTCTTGATCTTTGCCACCATGATCTATTACGCTGAAAGGATCGGTGCTGACCCAGATGACGTAACGGGCAGCAAGCACACCGTCTTCAAGAACATCCCCATTGGGTTTTGGTGGGCTGTAGTGACCATGACGACTTTGGGCTATGGTGACATGTATCCTGAGACTTGGTCAGGCATGTTGGTGGGAGCACTGTGTGCCTTGGCTGGTGTGTTGACCATTGCCATGCCTGTGCCAGTCATCGTCAACAACTTTGGCATGTATTATTCGCTGGCTATGGCCAAGCAGAAACTACCAAAGAAAAAGAACAAGCACATCCCACGAGCCCCCCAACCCGGGTCACCCAACTACTGCAAACCGGACATGCAGTCCCCGCATCGCAGCAACCAGGGTGACTCATGCCCCCTGGCTCAAGAGGAGATAATCGAGATTAATCGGGCAGGTAAGGGGGAGACACTATGGGCAGAAATAGCTAAGAATTCCATCTATGTGAATCAACTCTGTTTGAAGTTTGTGACTTTCAAATGTTCTGCCATCCAAGGATTCCCTTCCTGCTACGAAACTAATACTGTAGGGAGGGAGGTATGCAGAACCAGGCATATTGATGAGGATTCCTGAGAATTTTAAAGAAGCATGTTTTCAGTTCACATAGGCTTTTATCTATGCTTGTTGGGTCTCACTTTTGTACCTCTTGCAAACAGAGGAGTGCACCCAAGAATTATTCCTGTTTCCCAGCCTTTCTTGAGTTTGGCTATTTAGATGTTGCTGTACTACAGTGCCCATTATCTCAGACCACTGACTGTGCTGGCTAGAGATGAAGAAGGTTGAAGCCCAACAGCGTCTGGGATACCAAGGTTGGCAACAGCTGTATATACTATTTTGGGGCTATGTATTTTAAGAAAGATTGATAGGGAAGTTTTCCAGGCGAGCTTGCTCATTAGCACTGATTTTTCTCATTGAAGAAATCTTGGTAAATCTGTGATAAAATTATAAGTCAAAGGTCAACCACCAGTTGCTTGCAGGTGCCACAATTATCACCCTCAGAAAGTTATGTGTGAAATTCCTCAAATTATATTCGTTTTTAAAAGATGGCTGAAAACTTGTGGGATTGTAAAATCTTGCAAGATTTCAGTGTGATTTTGCCCAAGAGTGCTACACTCTTATAAAATCATGTATGAGAGTGCCAAAAGTTCATGCAAGCACTTACAGGTTTGTATCACTATTTCTAATCTAGCTGGATTTTACAAAAGAGAAAGATCAGAGGAGGATAATGCTTGTTTCTTCCAAACAAAACTGGAATTATTATTCAATTTGCTTTGGAATGGAATTATATAATGTGTTGGGTTGCTAACCATAAAAAATAAGGAAAAAACCAAAAAAGAGCAAGGAGTTAATGTCCTATATATGTAAGTGTATATATTATAGGTACACCAGCTCTGCGGTTCTAAGTTACTATTTGTGTCTCAAGTGCTACACAAGTGCAAAAGTTGGAAATGCATAAAGGGCTCACCATTGTGAGAAACTCTTTTTAATTTTTTATATTAGTCTTTAAGTGAATCTCTGACTCTCCAGATGTTGCTGAAATCCTTCACTCAGCATAAGCAATGGTGAAGGATGCTGGGAGCTGTAGTTCTGATTCATAAACATCTGGGAGACCATCTTTGTTTAAGATTATGGAGGTATGGGTAGAAAGATCTTATGAAATAGAAGAGACGCAGAATAAAATTTTCAAGGATGAGTCTTTGGTTCCTTACCTTGCTTCCAAGGGCACTTCCTTTGCCCTTCATACTCTTGGCAGCATTTTCACACAGTGACATAAATGTCCTCAGTGTTCTCTTCCTCACTCTTCCCTTGCCACATTTATTTCTTTGCAGCAAAGAAAGAGACCAACTACCAGCCGTTGAGCTGGTCGGATGGACTGTGAATGATAGAGAGAAAGCCTCCGTCTGCATGATGTCATGTGCCTTGAGGAGGGAGCTGGGAAATATGATAAATAGGGAGGCAGGATGAGTTGGGAGCTACTGACAGTAGGAAGCCACCTACCCTGCAGAGCTTCAAAACATTTCAAAACCACCTTCCCAGAACTCTCTCTGGAGTATCTGCTGAGCTAAGAGTTAATCAGCTCACTTGTGAAGATCTCCATGAGCCACAAAACGTCATGCAGACAAAGAAGCTTGGCTGCAATATTGGGTTGGTGCAGCCCTTATGTATGGAATTGGCTTTGCCCTTCTCAAAGAATGTCCTCAAAGAAAGGAAATTAGGCAAAATTTGAAGCTTCTGCTTTTGTGTGAATCAGAATTGTTATTTTTAAAGGAAATTAAACATTTATTCATACTTGTTCAATAAATAATATAAAACCCTATCATCTTCGTTAAATCTAGCCCGGTTATTAATTATTGACATAGAAGTCAGCTGTAGCACTGAATATTTTACAACTGGTCCACGAGATGGAACTCTCTTACTCCTGTTTTACAGGTCACAGATTTAGGCATACTAGCCTGGCTGTGGCTTATCTGGAGGACACAGCAAAGTCAAGAGTGTCCTGAGGCCAATTCTTGATCCTCTACCTCAAAATCCAAATGCCCAGCTTTAAAACTGGGACTCACCCATCACTTTCCCATGGTAGGCTGGAGTTCTCCCAAATGCAAAAGAATAGATTCCTTTGCTTGTTAGCTATGGGACAAATGCTGGAAATATGAGACATTTTAGAGCAAAAACTCTTTGGAAACCCAAACATTTTGAGCTCTAAAGTCCTCTTGAAGGATTGTACAAGAGCTGGCTATTTTCCATGCTGTCACACTTAATGGCACTAAATCTATTGTCTTGAGCCTCCTTTCTTATCTTTATTATAAGACTCCATGGTCTTATAATAAATCCCAAAGATTACATCATATCACCTCAGTGATCAAGGCCATATCTGGAAGATGAAACTCTTCCCAGACTTATTCAATTTATTTAATGGAACTTGGACTGGAGGTTAGCTATTTTAAGGGGGTTGATCAAAGGCAAGGCCGACCTACTATTAGCTAGAGTAAGGCAGACAGAAAATACTGGGGAACAGCAATGGCGCTTAAGGCTACAGCTGTTCCCTTCTGTTGCAAGACAGATGCATTGGCTAAGGACCTTGGCCTGCATCCCAGGTGACAGTAGTGAAGTAATGCTCAATTGGCAATTCACTCAGTTTCTGTAGCTGAAATATCAGAGTGGATTCCAAAATATCTTGGGCCAAGCCCTGTCCAAAAGCCCCAAGGCAGCTAAACAAGACTGTCTCATGTAAAAAATAATAATAATAATCTTTACTTTGGGATGCAGTAGGCCTAAGCTAATGCTAAAAGAGGAAGGTGGTAAAACATAGGGAAGAAATCTTTGGCATTATTAAGGCGGGGCTCAATCTTTGTTGAGCCTCAAAATCACTGAATAGATGAATTTGGGCCATCCCACTTTTCAGAGGACCGCAAAAGAGAAGAGGCATTATGAGAACATTCTCAACTGATATGCTTCCATCCACAGGTAGTATGATAACCAAGCCCAGTTCTTAAAACTGGTGCTGTGTTCTTAACACTCTATCAATTTGCCTGGTAGGGTGTCAGATTCCAGGAGTCCTGATCAGCACCCTGGAAAAAGTGAAAACATTCCTCAGAATGTAGCTCAAACTCCTTTGCAGTCCACTGCTGGTGAATGGAAGAATTCTCTGTGGGTCAGTAGTTTGAAAGCAGTGGCCAATGCTCTTTCTCTCTTCCTCTCTCTCTCACACACCCACCCACACACACTCTTTCTCTCCAGCCACTTTCCTTCTTTATGTTTTTAACTGCTGGTTCTTGGAGGTAGCATAAAAGCTACCACTGCATAAAAAAACCCTATGTAGTGTTCAAGAAAGCAGTCTAGGCTATCCCATCTTGGCTATAGATTTGGAAGGATTTGTCCTTCCAAAATGACTCATATGTGAAGATCGAAGGGCCTGTTTTGGCAATTCAAGCCTTTTTTGATTAAGAATTATTATTCTTTTTCTTCTGTGGAGGAAAGGGTGGAGAAAAGGGGAGATGGTATGGGCAGTCATGCTCAGATATAGGTGATTTAGATGGATTGGAACATTTTAGCTTAGTTTACACCTACAGGGGATTCATTAGTGATTTGTAGAGGAAGAGATTTAGATGGAAAGTTGTTTGCCAAAAGATACGGTGCCTCCTAATTCCTCGTCTTCCCTTTGAGCAGACAAAAAAGAAGATTGCCGATCATTGATTGCTCTGAGAGAGACAAGAGAATACTTCTTGCCTACATCCTGGTCTTGGGGAAGAGTATCCCAAGTAGGCAGGGTGCTCAGGGCCGGACTAGTAGATTGGCCCCTCTATGTGCTGGCAAGGACAGGAAAGTTACTAACAGAGAATCCCAAAAGAGCGGTGGCATGCACATCTTTAGTAAAAGCTGAGAGCCAGGATGTTTGGGTTCCACAAGAACAGGAAAGGAAAAGATCAAGGGATTAAACTAGTTCACTTTATTTATTTGTTAGATTTATATCCTACCTTTAGTTCAGGAGCACAAAGCAGCAAGCACAGCACTCCCCTCCTCCTATTTTTCCCCAAGTAACAGCAACAATTCTGTTGTGGTTGGGTGGCCACTGACTGGCCTCAAGTCACCCAATGAGCTTCCACGGCTGAGGGTGGACTTGAACCTGTGTTTCCTCAGGGCCAATCCAACACCTTAACCACGACACCACACAGGCTTTTACTTAGCTTCTCAGTGAGAGTTTGTTATTTGGGGGGGGGGGGGGTTATGGTTGACTTGCAAGGCCTCTTGAGTTCACGATTAAAACAGGACTGCCTGAACAGAAAAAAAAAAAGGTTAATTCTTTCGAGCAGAACAGAGTTGGGTAGACATGAAGTTAATTGCTCTAGAACAATCCAGATACAGAGGGTGTGCAGGCTTGGGGTGGAAGAACCCAACTGCAACCTGAAGCCAAATGATCGCCACAACCACTGCCACCCCTTGTGGGCACACCCCTACCCACAAATCTCTTTTTCCTCCTCTTTGGGGTTCACTCATCGAATAGATCCTCAAGACAGGCCACAAGGCAGAAGTGGGAGGAAGAGAAGGTTGAGGGATGGAGGGCCTTCAGGGCCTGCAATCAATTCCTGCTTGCCTTCCATCTGCTCCAGGTCCTCTGGGCCAGAAAGGCCATTTGCAGCAAATACAGCGGAAGAGCAAGGATTCACTTAATTTAACAGGCTCTTGGCTATGCACTGCATAGCAGGGGAGGCTAAAGGGAATACAGTTGCTGGAGCTATTGCTGTCAGGGCACAGCACAGCCACCATCCGATAACTGCAACCTGAGTCTTTACTGCCCAGCTTAATTTTACCTTAGTCTCTTTTTTACTTCACTAACAGCCTTACATTTTCCACTTCAGTTGCCTGATAACCCAATGCCTTTCGGTTCCCATGGCAACAAGTTGCCTGCAACTCCTTCAATTCAATTTGTACCCTCATTTCAATATATGAAATGATTAATATCACTTGCAGGATTGTCTCGGAAGGCCTTTCCTTCGAACACTCTTTTAGGAAAAGTTATACATGCTAATTTTTGTGTATTAAAATTGATCACAGATGAAGAAATCTGAGCTGCTTACCTCCAGTGGTATTCTGGGGGATGGCCATTAAATGTGGCAGAGTGCTTATATCTGGGAATTTTTATTTTCTTCCTTTGTCAACGGATTTTCTTTGACTAGCCCTAGTTCTGCATGTCAGGCTGCTATTAAAAATACAAGAGCAGGGACAGTAATAACCTTAAAAGTGGGCAATCTTGAGGGTGTGAATTAATGTAATCCATTTAATTATCTTTGAAGCAAACAAAGAAAAGATATTCACTCCAGTTCTGTAAAGGAAAGTTCATTTTTAAAAAATGCAGAAAGGCCAGGACTTATTTTGGGAAGATCACTAATTTGAATGGCCTTTAAAAAAAAAAATCTACATGAGCATTTAGCAAATGAGTGTTTATTTGGAAGGATCTGGGAAGAGAGGGGGAATTCAGATGTAAAAAAACTTGAAAATATTAAAAATGGTTCCAGAAGATGTTAAAGATCTATTTAATTAGTTCCTTTGAGTCTACACTGCCTGTGGCTACCAGACAATTGCAAGAGAGTTTTCTGCAGAAACTCTCTGCAGACCGGATTTTGCATCCCAGATCTGGTAGCCTTCATTCAGCCATGTATGGCATACAATAATTTGAATAGCAATGAAGGTAACAACTGGGTATGCACGTGGTTCTTTGAATACAGTTAAAACGAAATACCATACTGTGGAGGCATGACTTAAGAAATGAGTTATATGTTTACAGATGGCTTATGAATGATTCTCAGATGGGAGCCATCTTTTCAAACTTCATCTTAGGCCCAGAACACCGTCATCTAAACATTTCATAAGGTTAGTCAGTACTGAAGCTCTCTCCCACTCACCCCCCCCCCCCCCCAAAAGCATGGTCTTTCATAATACAATCCAAGCCATTGTCTAAAGTTGCAAAGAGACCAAATCAGTCTTGCTTGCCATGTATCAACATTGATGGCCATGCCATCGTGGTACCATAGTTGACTCATTCTTCTAATCCAGATTGAGTGGAATTGATTTCAGAGAGATCCAAAGACTTGAACATGACTTGACTACCTTGCCACTTTCCCCATCTTGTTACAGAGAAAGATAATGTATTTTATTTTGACTTCATTACCATTCAGTTGGGATAGCTTATTTTAGCTTTGGGCACAAGAGCATAAGAAGGATGTTGACAAGAAATTCCAGGAAGAGCTATAAAGATGCTAAAGGGGTCAAAAAGACAAATATATGAGAAAAAGTTGAAGGAATAGGATATGTTTAGGCAATCCCTGAAATTTTCAAACTGTTTCAAGGCCTCTTCTCTGACATTAGGGAATTCCATGGAGATGTGCAACATTTACTCAGCCGACAAATCGATGCAGGCTGTAGAAAGATTTCTGGAGGGCAAGAACTATGAAATCCATTAGTTTGGGGAGAAAGATTGGAGGAGAGGCATAGATGAGACAATTGTCTGTGTGAGGAAGAATGGAAAAATGATTCATCCTATCCACTAAAAGAGCAGGGAAAGAGGCAATAAGATTAAATTTAGGAATGACAGAGGTTTCATGTCCATGTGGATGAGTGTGCAGAATACATACAGTTGTTGATTGGTGCCCAAAATCCTTACAGACATCTTCGTTCAAAGAAGCGTCTCTCCTTCAGCACCAAGAGCTTGCAGCGCTCAAACATGACTACAGCATTTTGTCACTGGGTAAATGGGAACTTTAGCTAGCATTTCAGTTGCTATTTCAAGTGTTGTGTAAAATGGGATTGCACAAGGGTCATAGGCTATGCCCCATCGTGTCCATCAAAATCAGAGACTGTACCACTTGAGCAAGGGGTGCTTCGCTTCGCTCCTAATTCTGTATAAAGCAATGCCCTTCCTCTTCAGCAATGTCTAAACATTTCATCAAAGTTTACCCCCCTCTCTAAGAAAAAATGTTCTAACAGCCTAGGATGTTTCTAGAATAATTCCCTCACAAGATAAAATACAATGATCTATGACAACTAACCTATGATAGCCTCATCCATTCAGGTGTCAAGTGATATTATTAGGTTAAAAATAAAACCAGCAATAAATTCCTCCATAGGATTGCTTGATCATACCTAAGGGCCTGATTATACATGGTTTACCTTAAAGATCAGGACAAAAAATAAGAACAAAGCTATGAAAGCCGAATTTTATTTAGAACATTGCCTCCATATAAAATAGAAATTTGTATTTCAGACTATGATAATTCTAGAAAAACCCCAAAATCTCTTATATGTCCTCTGCAGCAAACTGCAGCGACACCATGTGTGTGGTGACGTCATCACACAAATGTGACTTACATACTTGCATCACAATGTCTGATGCCAGCACATAAGTCACAGCATTCGTATAATGGCATCAGCATGCATGTTTTATTTGCTCCCTACCATTAATACCCTTTAATTGTACATTGTTTGATCTGGTAGCCCTAACAATTTCAAGCAGGTTATTCTGTCCCTTTTGAAACTGGTTAGTAAATTGTGCTAAAAATGCTCTTTCGTGCTTGCTTGTTTTCAGGGAACCTTCTCCGGTACAGATTTTAATTGGCTGGAAAGCAGTATCTGTCATAATTTCCACTACAGAATCCAAACACTAAACTAGAGTTCCTGGGGTGGACTCCTTGGGGACCTAATCATTATTTTAAATAAATATGGGAACCCATCCTCAACACATAATCCCCACTGGCAGAAATGATAAATACCTTCATTTTAATGTACCAGAGCCACACATTGGGGTGCAAAATCGTGGCTAAATTGGTATTTAATGTACATCAACTGAACTGAATACTGTATAGTTCAAACTGTAAGAGCAAGGGAGTTAAAGGCAGAACTCACTCCTTTTCTGAGAGGAGAATATAGTCCGCACTAATTTTTGAACAGAGCTTACATTTTGACGAAATCTTCTGGAACTTGAATGTGAATTGCTTGTCACTTGCATATTATAAGAAATAATTTACATCTTGAATTTGTAAGAAATAAAACTAAATGCCTTGCTTTCCAGTAACGTGTACTATTTTTAAAAGGTTTAAAGTATTTGGGTTAGGAGACTATTAATGGGAATTTTCACAAAGCAATCTGAGAAACAGTTTAAAATTTCCCCTCCTTTTTCAAAACATGTGATGTACTTTTAAAAACATAAGAAGAGCTTGAGTTCTCCTGGATTAAACCAAAAGCCTATTTAATCAGCATTCACTTCTGCAAAGACTATCAGAAGCTTCTGAGACATCTTCAAGACAAGAGCATCAAATTTTGTTTGACTTCCCTACTGGCTGGTATTTAGACTTAGAAAGTATTTGAATGATCTTCTTAAGTCTGCCCTACATCCTTTTCTTTCTCTTTCTCTTTCCCTTCCCCTTTTCCTCTACAGATTCCAAGCAGAATGGCGATGCAGCAAATGCAGCTTTGGCTAATGAAGACTGCCCTACAATTGATCAGGCCCTGTCACCTGAGGAGAAGTCACCTGTCACACCTGGTGGCCGAGAGCGCTATAATCGTGACCGAGCCTGCTTCCTCCTCTCCACAGGTGATTTTGGGCAGTCACCTGATGGAAACATCCGAAAAGGTACGTGGACATGTGTCACCATCATTTCCCCCTTGCCTATTTCTGCAAAGCTTGCATCCCGTCCTCTAAGTTTGTACCCAAGCATGTTATCTTCCACCCTTACCACTAATACCACCAGAACCTTTGTCTTAGTAAAACCAGAACTGCCACTTTTCAGGGATAAAGACCACTGCTAATATGTAACTGACTTAAATAAAAGCCTAATCCTGAGATCAAAATGTTCAGAAATGGGAAGATTGGGGAGCAGATAATGTCCTAGCAACTGGCAAGGTCTCCATTTGTTCCACATTCCCTAGAGTGCATTGCTCAAGGAACAGGATTATCTAGTACAACCTTTTCCAACGTGGTGCTTCCAGACCTGTTGGACCACAATCCCAGAATTCCCATTGGCCAAACTGGCTGAGAATTCTGAGAGCTGTAGTCCAGTCTATCTGGAGCATCCTTTCCCAGCTTGGGAAAACCTGCCATAATACCTCCTTCCAGAAGACAATCCATGAACACAGCTGATTTTGAGCAGTTGGGGTTCTGGCGGGAAGCTGGATTCTTCACCCCAGCATTGCCAGTCCATTATTTTCTAAACTCTGTTACATTCTGTGCACACATCCCCAGCTTCATTACCTCATCCCCCCTCAACAAAGTTATGTTTCCTTTATCAGCATTTGTTTTTCATCAATTGCTCCCACCCCACTGTGTTTTCTCCATTATGGGTATCATTCTGTCTCACAGTATTTGGCTGCAGTTGCTCTTCGTGTGTTTCAGGCTGTTCTTTTAAGGGAAGTTGCAGCAAGTGACAACTAGCTATTTTACAGGGACTCATTGTGAGGGCATGAGAGTGGCCATAAAATATTTGAAGTTATTTCCCATTCTCCAGACTTGTATAAATAGAAAAAGTAAGGCTTGGGCCCAAATGACTTGCTTCAAATTACTGCAAAATCTACATCTGTAACATAGAAATAATAAGCTACTAGTCAGAGGTGTTGTAACGAAAGATTTTTCTTGTTGCAAACCTTGGGCTGGTTTTTGGCTATAAGCCTAACTGAAGAACTACTAGCCCAGGATTCCCTAAAGTAGTTGATTTTGACCCCCAAGGGTTGATGGAACCATCCAAGAGGTTAATGTTGTTGTTATTATTCATAGTATCATTAGTTAAAGTAGTATTTATTAAATTATTTCCATATAATAAATGTTTAGGGGTCAATGGACAATCTGAAACTTTGTGAAGGGGTCAATGAGCTGAAGAGTTTGGGGACCCCTGTACTAATCAATCATAGCTGGACTACTTTGTAAAACAAATAAGTTCCCATGTAAAAGTGGTGTATGTTCCTCGCACTCAGCTTCCTTATTCTGCCCTTTCCTGTTCCAAAATCCTACCGGCTCCAAGTCTCTTGAGTTCAACAGGAATCATTTGAGAATTTGGCACTGATGTAATTGGATAGGAAATTGCTACCAATACACATATAATACTTCTTTCTCTGTTCCTCCCCCTCCGTTTCCTTCAAAGGGTTTGCCTGTCAAATCCTCTAATTGTTTTTTGACTCAGGTGAGTCTCAAGAGAGGTTTGTCAGGAGATTCCAGATTGCCAATTTACGATCAGGAAGCTGCACACTTAGTGCTTATCCAGGAACTGTGTATCATGCTGGGCAAACAACTTGCATTTTACAACAAGAAGGCTGAAAGCAGCTATCTCACATCTTTGGCGATTAGGGCTACCATATCTTACTTGGAATATGCTGGATAGCCATTACATGGCAGTAAAGAGACACAGGAACTCTAACTCTGTGCTGCCCTCTAGTTATCTTCCAAAGTTTTACAGTTCAAATACAGTAGCTCTATTCAAGATTGACCTCCAAATCAGTATTTATGCATAAATCAGTCAGAAAAATTCTCATAATTTTTAATAACTCCATTATTCTATCCAAAACACTCCCAAAGAGTCCACATTGCTTTTTAAAAATCATTCATGCTAATTGCATGACCAAATAACGGGTTAGGAGAATATTTTACTTCAAGGTTACTGCTGACATTAACTCTGGATATAGTGGTAATTAACTCTGTATTGCCAGTGCTACATCTGATGTTAATACTGCTGGAAATTCATCAGTAATTTTTATGGGACTTGGTATCAACTCTTTGTAGTCCTTCATTCTACATTAGGTGAGAGTGGACCTCAGTTGTGTTCATCTCTCTGTGTGAAAAAGAATAGGAGAATGTGATCCCTCTAGCCAGGAGTCATCATCAGCATGTTTAAGTGTTGTGTAAGTTCTGGTCTAGCATCTGTCAGAAACTGATCTTAGCAGCAGGCAAACTTTCAAACAGAGACAAGGTTGCTCCTGTCACAGCAGGCAAACAGGAGGTGACAGCAAATGAAAGCTGACGAGGAGTTTAATTCCACTGAGGGAGCCAGAGCACAACAGACCTTTCATGGTGTTGCACAGTAGGGAAGACCAGCAAGCAAGGGAGAACCACAGAGGTGGAATAGCTTGTCATAAGGTCCAAATTCTAAGAATCGCCTTTTCATTCTAGAGACTTATGACATTCAGCACAGGATTAAATAGAGTACACAATGGTTTCATTGAACTCCTTTCTGTTGCCATAAGAGTATGCAGGCTTTTAAGATGATCAAGTGGAATGAAGGCTGTCATCCAGTTAAAGGAAGCAGACAGGGATAATCAAATGAGTTTTAAATTAATGAATCAGTTCAAGTGGTGACAAAAGTTCTGAAGGCAGAAGGATGATTCCTTTTGTTTTTAGGTAGCACGTGCATACAATGCAACTAAACAGGCTTGGGAGAGGCTCTTCTTCCTGAAAGAATGTTGTCTGATATTCAGATCAATATTAATTAGTAAATCCAACCATTGCATTCTATGAACCCAACATCCAGCTAAAAAGGAGTATGGGAAATAAACAATGCATCTGTTAGTGGAGGTTCTATATATTTATGCTTGCTATGACCTCAGAACTCAAGCACAGTATATCACTCAACTCTCTTTCATACTTGGCAAGGCTGGGAAGTTAAATTCCCAGCCTGTATTTTATCATTTTTTCTATCCTTCACCTTCCTCCAGCCAGTGACTATATTAAGATGCAGCTCCATAAAATGGGGCTTACCACAACTATACTCAGTTGCTTCTTCCTCCAAATAGTACAGGATACAAACCATCATCCATAATTTGTTCATTGCTCTCATACCATGTGAACCTGGTATGACAGCTTTTTTCAGCTGGAGGAAGCCAGAGAAGGAACTCATGACTTTTTAATGTTTTTGCATGGCCTTCTTAGTCTTGTGGTGTGTGCAGTACAAAAAAAAGTTCCACCCATCTTCTCTATGTTTTAACCCTGCTTTCCTTTCTTAGAACTCCAAACTATGAAGAAGGAAGCAGGAGTGTCCCCTCCTTATCCATGTTGCCACTCTTAAGCGTCTCTCTCTGGTCCCAGAGATGCTCCATGGCATTCCGGGATACAATTTGGAAAAGCATGGATGGATATAAAGGTCCTTAGCTGAGAGCCATAGCAATTTGCCACTCTGTCGAAAAAAATTCTGGACAAGCATGAAAAAAGTGATGCAGTTATTGAAATACCATTCAGGACCACAGCTGTGCCAAGGTGAACTCCATTGCTCTAGGACAATGTTTCTCAAGCTCAGTGACTTTAAGATGTGTGGACTTAGCTCCATGTTGGCTGGGGAATTCTGGGAGCTGAAGTCCACCCAATATAAAGTCACTGAGCTTGAGAAACACTGCTCTAGGACATTTCTAGAAAGTTTCCCAGCTCATTCAGATGAACAGAGGTTCAGAACCAAGCAAGTGATAGCGAACTGCCGCCTCAGAGATTAGCATGGTATAATCTGACAAGAAAAAAAACTTGCAAACTGCAATAAATAAAAGATGCCAGCTTCATATTAGACTGTCATTAAAAATCTGAAAGGAAGAGGCTTATTAAACAAAATTAAGAAATTCAAGAGCAATTAAGCAGTCACGTTCCTATTAAAATTACAATGTTGTATTATATTTAAAGAGAATGCTTAGCAAAATTTAAAGTCAAGCCGCTATGAACCTGCCTCCCCACCATGCCTGTTCTGTGGAGTATGCTCTGAAAGAAAGAAGATGCTAATAATGGTTCAACATTGGAACCCCTGGGAGTCCAGAAGAAAGAGACTGGATTTCTGGACAGAAAAATGATATTTTTCTTTTAAATATTATATAGCTTCCCTTCTTCCATAGGCAGCAGAGAAAAATCATGAGCCACTAATGGCACCTCTTAGGTCACCTAGTCCAACCTTCTGCTTAGTGTAAGATAGACATGATTTCAGGGGGTTTCAGTGAGTTAATTTTAGGTATGACTTACAACACCAGGTTGTGACAAATATTGCCCCAGTAGCCTTCAGGGCCAAGAATGGATTTGAACTCTTCTTGTTGTTCAGTCGTTAAGTCGTGTCCAACTCTTTGTGACCCCATGAACCGTATTGTGCCAGGCCTTCTGAAGGATTTGAACTGAGGTCTCTCCAAATCAAAGCTAGCATGCCTAACCGTGGCATCATTCCGTGTAAGCAGGAAGGAATGGGAGATTATTCATTAGAATTAACGAGGAAGATAACAACAGCCCTCTCCAACCTGGCACCTTCCAGATTTTCTGGGACGGCAACTCCCAAATTTTCCAGCCAAGAATTTTACTAAAAACCTTCGAAATTGCCATTCTGGAGGGCTGTCAGGTTAAGAAGGGTTGGCCTAATACAGTGTTTCTCCACCTTAGTCACTTTAAGCTGTGTGGATTTCAACTCCCAGAATTCCCCAGCCAGCATGGCTGGCTGGGGAATTCTGGGAATTGAAGTTCACACAGACCAGTGTTTCTCCACCTTAGTCACTTTAAGCTGTGTGGATTTCAACTCCCAGAATTCCCCAGCCAGCATGGCTGGCTGGGGAATTCTGGGAATTGAAGTTCACACAGCTTAAAGTGACTAAGGTGGAGAAACACTGGTTTAATATGATAGAACAGGTGAGTCAGGACACAGCTGTCTTGAGTTCAGGCTGGGAACAGAGCAGGTAAGCGGGTAGGTTGTTTTCCACAGCCACGCCTCCCTCGGCTTCATCACATGCTCATCTTCAGTGCCTCCTCCTCACACCTCCTCTGTCTGTTTCTCCCACCCTCGACCCCCTTCTCATCTCCATCCATTGCTCCTATCCCTATCCCTCCCTTTATCCCATTGCCCACCAAACCCGGGCCCCGCAGGCGCCCACCGCCTGCCACCGACAGCATTTGACTCCTCTGCCACCTCCTGGTACCTGCATGACTACAATGCCAACGCAGCTCCCTGGAAGCATGAGTAGGAGGCCTGGAAAGCAGGGAATTTGGTGAGTAGGCTTTCCACATTGCTCTCCATTCCCCATTACTCACACTTTCAGTTTGGTCTCCTTCCACTTTGCAACCCCCTCCAAAAGAAAATTTGACATCAACATTGAAGCTTCCTCCTCCTCCAACTCAGGTTGTTGACTTCATTTAGGCTTCTGTGGCAATAGATTAACAGCAAAGAGGGGCCACAAGAACTGCATTGTGAGGAGGGAAGCAAGTTGAGGAAACAGTGAAAAAACAGCTTTTCCTTATTCCCAAGGAGCAACAGCAGACTAGACTAGATCATCCAGCACAAACCCTGTTTCTTACTCCTGTGCTGGTTTTCTTTTTGCAAAGAATGTTTGACATTTAAAAGCATTAAAAATGTAATCACCCACCCCTTTTGCAGTCTGAAATGGTACTATCAGCTCTTCAACTCAATAGCATCTCATTCTATTTCATGTTTAAGCCAGCCTTCAGATGTTCCCCCATGTGAAGTAAAATGGGACAGAATTATATTCTCTCTTTTAGCGCAGCAGACTGTACAGAACATTATGTCTTGGAGTAATCTTCAGAGGTCACAGAACCTTAAAGTTTGAAGGTACCTCGTAGGTCACCAACCTTCTGCTTAGTGCAAGATAGATATGATTTCAGGGGGTTTCAATTTTAGGTATGACTTAAAAATATGACTCTAGGTATGACTGAAGTAGGGGGCTAAAAGATCTGGACTGCAAAACTCTGGCAGCAAACAGATATAGAAAATCTATTCTTGCTTCCATCTAACATTTGAATGGATTTTTTTTGCAATCCAGATCTGATACGCTTACAGAAGAGTTCAAGAAGAACCCTAATGGATTGGACCAAATATATATATTTTAAATTTTACAGTATTTATATACTGCCCAATTACAAGATTAATTATTATTTAGTCCAGCAGCCTTTTTCCCTCAAAGGCCATTTTCTAGATAATTGTCCCTGTTGTCCCCTAGCAATGCTAATTATAATTAATTATAATTAACACTTCTGTTGGACATGGAATTTCCATTTAGGTGTAATGGCCAAAGGCTATTTTAATGTTGTTTCCATGAGTACGTTATGCCTCACCCTTATTAAAGCCATTTAAACTGGAAGTGATCATCTCTTGTACCATTGATAACCTAGTGCAGAGTTTCTCAAGCTTGGCAACTTTAAGAGGTATGCACTTCTACTCCCAGAATTCCCCAGTCAGCTTTAAGTCCATACCTCTTAAAGTTGCCATGGTTGAGAAATACTGGTCTAGTCTATCTCTGTCATCCTATTCATGACTATAAAAACAGTTCCCCTGAATGACTCAGACCTTCTAGTGTTATAGGAAAGAGGAAAACTTTTGTGTAAACACTCTACTCTACTCCACTCTCCTCATTTTATAATTTTAAACTTCGGATGAGAAAACCTACTTGCTCATGTAAAGGGCCCCAAGTTTTTTTCTGAGATTAACAATTTCTATATATTCCATAGAATCTGTAGCATAAATGTCCACTTAATGAGTTTATTATTTCTTCTAAGAAATTATGTATTTCACTGAGCTGTAATCTATTTTGGGATGTGCAGCACTAACATGATAGACCCCTTTTATGACAGACCCTTAATATATGCCAAATATATAGCAAATAAAGGTTAAGTCTATATTTGGAGAGCTGTCAGAGGACAATCCACTGAAGGTGTTTCTATCGATTAGCTCAGTGTTTCTCAGACTTGGCAACTTTAAGACATGTGGACTTCAACTCCCGGAATTCCCCAGCCAGTATGCTGGCTGGGAAATGCTGGGAGTTGAAGTCCACATGTCTTAAATTTGCCAAGTCTGAGAAACACTGAATTAGCTGGAAGGGCTACCTTCTGTTGGAATCTCAGCAGGTGGCAGCAGCAGGACAACCTTGTTTAACCTTGGAAACTAAGCAGGGTCTGCTGTGGCTATTAGGACTGGAGAAAACTCAGAAGTTAAGTTTCTAAAACCTTCCATTGGAAAAGCTTACTGATCCAAGAATGGTGTCCAGCTAAGAAGGGCAAGACAACAGCTTTGTCCATCAACAATTAGGATGTTGGTGTATGCCTGGCCGATACACAGGATACTTGGCAAAACCTTTTTCTCTTACAGTAAACTGGGACCTGTTTAGTGCTAAATTGATAACTGGCACATTAATTACTACTGAGGAGAAGCTTATTGGTTTTATTCAAGGGGAAGGGGTGTTACACATATTCATTATCATTGTAAGGGATTGTGCTGGGGTGTCTGCAGGGAGGAGGTCAAAAAAGTCAAGAGGGGAGCCACAACAATGCACTCAAAGTCCTGTCCTTTTTTTATCTAGGATCACAACACCACAAAGTTTGAGAACCCTCACAGTGGTGATTTCCACATGCATATTTATACATATAGCGCTGTGTTCTCAACCTCAGCAATTTTAAGATGTGTGGAGTTCTACTCCCCAAATTCCCCAGCTGAACTCTACACATCTTAAAGTTGCTGAGGATGAGAAACACTGATACAGAGCAGTATTTGCAAAGATCAGGCAAACCACCAACCTTTTTAAATCCTCTTTTTACGTAGTGCCTTTTGGAGTGATGCTATTTATTGTAAAGGCAAGAGTTTAGAGCCACACAAACAGGCAGTGCATTAGTACCAGGCAGTTCACTTAACTGCACCCCCATTTCATATAACTCCAGGGCATAGACACACACACACATTTACACACACATACGCAGCTTCCTCAGTTTACCAGAAGGATTTTTCTCCTCTCCAAATTCTGAAAGACAAATCATACAAAAACAGAGATGAAGCAAGCTACTTCTTCATTCTTATCATCTATAGATGAAGTAATAATTAACTACTTCAGGTTATTAACCGCACGCCATAGCATGCCATGCTAATCCCTGCCAAACCCTCTTTCCTGCTATTAAATCAATTATAAGAGTTTACTGTTTTTAACTATAGACCCACGGAAAGCCTCAAACCCAGGGAATTGCAATCTAAAGGATGTATTACGGGAAACAACACAGGGAAGGAAAGAGGAGGTATGGCCAAGAATGAACAAATGTGAACAAATTATAAGAATTTTTTTTTAGGCATTACACGTGATCTCAATCCCGGTTCCCCAACCTGTGGTGCTCCAGATGTGTGGGGCCCTCCAGAGGCTGGGTGGGGAATTACAGGAGTCAAGGTTCAGCACACGGAAAGGGCACCACGTTGGGGAAAATCTTCTTTGGTAGGCATGCAGAGAAGTTGCAGCCTTTTTTTTGCAACCAGGATTAAAATTTCAAAGAGGCTGTGGCAAGGCGGTGGCCAAGTCACTCAAGTTTTTGACTGTTTGGGTGGGGAGAGGATATCTTTATTTCTATTCTTCTCCCCACCTGTCATAATATATAGATACAGACCCATCCATACCTCCCTAATTCCCCCCCTCCTCCCATGTCCTATGTGCTTTGGCTTTATTTCATTATTATCTGTTTTCATTTTCAGGGCAAATATTGCGCCCGTCCATGGCAGAGAACAGGTGGGGAGCCCCATAGCTCTGGAACTGAGGGTTGGGGTATCAGGCAGTGGCTGCCCTTAAAACATAGAGAGGAGAGAAATGGAGAATGCTTTAAAGCCGTGTTTTCCAACCTTGGCAACTCTAAGGTGCTGGACTTCCACTCCCAGAATTCCTCAGCCAGCATTTAATTTAATTTAAGTCCACTCATCTTAAAGTTGCCAAGGTTGAAAAACACTGATTTAAAGGGACATTGAAAACGGGCACCATCAGGGGAACAAATTAGTGGAGTGTGGAGCTGTGGTATAGAGCTGAGGTGAAATTGGGAGGAGCTGATTTGCTGAAGGGGTGAAAAAGCAGACAAGAAAATCCAGTGGCTTGACTGGGCCACAGAGAGACGTGGCATCCCTGCAGACGGTGCCACGGGGGCTCTTTTGTTCCTGGCAGAGGTGGGGCTTCCCCCGTGTTCTTTCCAGGGATGGGTCGCACCAATATTTGATTCCAATTAATGCCCCATTTCATACGTCTTGTAGGGTCTACCCTGTATTCTCGTAACGCCCCGACTGCGTGAGCCAGGTACGTATCTTGTGCCATACACCTCAGCCTACTTATTTATACTCCTGGGGGTGGGGGGCATTTTCCATTTTTCTCAGGCAGCTGGGCAGAGGTGACTGGATGAAGCTGTGGCTTCATGCCAACATCTGGTTTGGGGGTGGGGTGGGGAAGAAAAGGATCAGAAAGAATTCCCTCGAGCAGCCTTTTCAGCAAGACTTCTTGCCATGGCCTAATGGCCTATGCTAGTATTTGTAGCCTCAAAGGATCAAAAAAATCAGCTCATGAGATTCTGTGCGTTAGATGCAATTCTTGGGCGCCCTAGCATCGGTTGCACGGTTTCTTTGCCCAGCAATACCGTGGCTCTTACTTTATGCTTTCCATTGGGTCTGGTTCAAAGTTGTCAGTACAAATCCTTGTACAATTTTTGCCATTTGCACGTTTCAGTTTTCCTGTGTGTGCAAATAAGTGCTACTCTCCTTTTTCCATGCACCAATTGTTTTGCATATGTTCACCTAAGCACCTCTATTATTTGCATATGCAAAACCCCCCAAAATGGCAAAGGAAATAAGGGTGTGACTTGCCCTTGTTGCAAAATTGAATTCTGGGTGTGTTCAACAGTGTGTGCAAAAAGAGGTAAGTGTCAAACTGAGTGGCTGGTGA